TTATCAGGTATATAAAGCAACAACTCTTGGAGTAGATAGATATACATACCTATATGTTATATATATAACGAAAGAGAGAGTAATATCACGAATATTGGAAGCCGAATTTAGAAAGAAAACGTGAATATCTAAAAATATTATGCGGTGACAGTGTTTGGCAAGATCTTAAAGAGTTGAATATTAGCAAATGGAGAGCAAAGAAAAAGGATTGACGGATTTTGTTAATAAAGCTTAGTATCAAAATAGAATGTGAGCTACGATGACGATTGTCACAAAACGAATCCAATCTTTAGTGTTCTCCGGAAGTGTCTTGCCAACTTGTATTAAGGTTTATTTTAAGTTTATTAATAGCTATAATACAGTTCGGGTTAGTTTAGAAGACATTTTCCAGAAAGGGTACAATGGATCTCATAAGTTGCGATTTATCATTATATTTTATAATAAGAAAATTTTAAATTTGAAAAAAAATTTAAAATTTATATACAATCTCTGATTGTTTGAATACAATATATAAATACAATTTTTTATCTAAATGAAGTAGTTCGGCTTAAAAAGTTTTAAAATCATTTTTATTTAACAATAATTGAAATAATATAAAATTTGAACTTTGATGAGCTGAAAACCGGTATACATTATTATTATATATATTTTAATATTTAAGTAATTTACACCTACAAATATCGATTTTATTTTTAGTTTTGCATAAAGAATTCCAAAGTAACTTTTTGCTAACTAGTATGGCAACTTTACACTCAAGGTTGCAAGTAAAAGAACCAAACCCAAACTGTATTTATAGTTTTTATATACATACATATTTTATTGTTCAAATTCAAAGCAATCATAAACTGTAATTAAGTATTTAGTATATAAAAGTATATACATTTAGCGCCAAAAAATGTCAAGATTTTTATTAATAGCAAAATTGTGTTTATCGTAAATGACATGTAATTTTTGGTTTTGACTTTGACTTTCATTACCAGCTAAAACACTCTATAAAAAATTAATAACTATGTAGAGATATTTTATATATCTAATATTAGGGACATATCTGTGTTAGGAATATTAAAAATAAACTTAAAGCAATAAATATAGATCACTGATATTTATTAAAATGAGATAATAGGTTCCTTGAAGAGCACCAAATATTATTTTGAAAGAATGGATTGGTTTTAAATAAAATTATGTTATGCACAGCATGCTATCATTAGAATATAGAAATATGTCACCCAAAAAGTTTGGTGACGGACCACGTATTACAATCTTTATCGAATCGCTACATAAAATTTAAATATAATATTATCGATTAAATATGGTGGAAAAATATTTTCTTATATATAATACTTTACTCATATATTTAACTATGTTTTCTACTCAAAAAAAAAAAAACAAAAATAGTAGACAATTTTAATAATAATATAATACAAGTATAAAAACTATTGCTTAATAAGATAATATCATGTTATAAGCAATTAATCAGTTCTTAATGAAAGTGTAGGAAAGAAGAAACTAGAAACTATAATTAATGAAATTACCATATTATATACAAACAAGTCTAAAAATATACATCATTGTAAAATTTCAACACAAAACAATTATACAACAATATATATTTTAGTAATACTGTAACATATAATAATAATATAATACTATATATAATAAAATAAAGGCATAAAAATTGGCATATTGATCACTAATCAACACCTCAAGAAAAGAAAGACAAAATAAATTTTATTTTCTAAATTAATTAATTCATTAAAAATATGCATACCCTGCCTCATGCTTTCCCTAATGCAAATACAAATTCTTGAATCCAATATTTTACAGATGTTCACATTAAGATACAATAAGTGTATCTTATATTTATAATAATTTGTAAGCATTAATGGATTTTAATAACAAACGTAAATTACTCAAAATGTAATTACATATGTAGTATATACGTTTTATTTCACTTCAATTACTTTAACATTTATATATTCTTTTAATTATTTAACATTTTGCACATTTTATTAACTATCTTCTAATTGTATTTAATATTCGATTTCTTTATGCCATAAAAATTTTTTATTGGAAATGTACATTTATTTTAGATTAATATCTTTAGTCACGAATTCAAGTTCTATGCATATGCAATTTATGTATCTTCACATATTAAACATACTTTTGTATATTTATTTACAATTAACAATAATGGAGGAGGTCTTATAGAAATTGTTAAGCTTCAAGTATTGTTAAAAATAAACAATGCTGTATATTTCAATTATCTTATGTACATATAGTTTGGGTGAATTTAGTAATTAAGCATGGAAAATATTGTATAAAATAATTTTTATATATACAGATATTTTTTAAAACAGCTTAAATAGGAAGATTTTTATTTTGCATATAGAGCAGTTAATAAAAAATAATTGCTGATATATAATACACCTACAGTATACTTATGTATTATTGAAATTAACATAAAAGAACTTAATTAAAAAAAATTTTAAGTTTCTCAAGGAAGTTTAAAACTATTAAAACAAAATTTTAAAACTTTGAATGTAACTAAATAAAAAGTACAAAATGTAAATTTTTAATTATAATAATAGATTAAATAAATAAATAAAATAAAAATCCCACAATATAAACCGACAGGATGCCCTACCTAGCACTATCTAATCTCAGAGTAATCACTAACCGCACGGGGCGGTACGCAGATCTTAGATCAATCAACAAACAAGTGATTTCAAATTAAAAAAAAGGTATATAATTTATTTTCAATTAAATTAAATAATATTAATAAATTCTTCAACAAAGTTAAGTGTGTAATGTGAGTCCTTGCGTCCTTATTAAGTTTAAATTTTGAATTTCGTTCTATTTGTAGTTTAGTTAAAACTCAAATATTTATTATATAGACCATTTGAATACTACTTTTACTTTCATTAATTCTCGCTAATTTATTTTGTTTACTAAAAAGTAATTAATGAAGAATATTGTTTTCCTATGTAATGATGAATAACATTAATATTTGTATATATTATCTATTTACTAGTAATAATGACATTATACAACAAAATCAACTAATTATAAAATGATGTTGTCACTAATATTGTGAAATTAATCTTAATTAATTATTAGGTGCTTTACTTTAAATAGGGACTTTACGTGACAAATTAATTAAGTTGAACTAATTAAGTTAAACTAATTAAGAAAATTTTTAAATTACAAATACTTTACGTATAATGCATTAAATATTATTTAAAATAGTTTCTGGAATTTATAAATCTTAAACAAAGCATAACCTTTTTTTTAACCTTTATTAAACATCTTTGGATATTATTTTTCCTTTCTGAAAATTTTATTGTAATATGTTGACCTTTCTGTAGAAATAATTTAGTTAATTTAAAATGATAAAAAAAACATACCTGTGATATGAATACTTGTATTAGTACCTGTCTTTGAATCCTAATTATTTGAAAATTAAATTTTCTTAAACAAAAAACGGATTATATCAACGTCTGAGTACACTGATATTTTGGAAAATTCTATACACATTCACTAATAGTTTTCTATTATTTTTGCAATCTAGTTATTATCTCTTATTTTTTAAAAATTGTAGAAATTAGTTTTTTAAACGAAAAAGATTAAGATGAAGATTTTATCATTCTTAATATTTATTTATAATATTTCTCTTTAGAAATATTAGACATTACTTATCACTATTATATTATTTAAAATAATACTTTATGAATTTTTAAGCTTCAAATAACTTTATTATAGTTTAAAACAAATAGAAATGAACAAAGTTCGAAGTTCTTGTCTTGGTACTAGGAGTCGAACAATTATATAGGAAATAATAAAACTAACAAATATTTTCAAATAATAAGTATTTAACAATGCTTAAAAAGCTGTTTGGGTAATTGAAATATTTAAACAAATAAAAATAAATTTTATTTTGTTTCGAATTATTACAGTTCGATTAATTCCTATAAAAAAATATGTTTTTTGTATTTGAATTTAAAATATATAATATATATTTTATATACTGTCTGTATATAAAATTATAGACAGTTTCACACCCGTAAAAGCTTTTACTTTTTTCATATAAAAAACTTTTTACTACTGAACAGTAAAATCTACCTAAAGTGATTTAGGCCCTATGCTTCACTAGAAGAGAAGGACGGCAGTGGGTAAGTAAAGTGGTCATTGGAAGTTAGCCAATTGTTGCTCGTTCATGTAGGTGTCTGCTCAGAAGGAATTAAGTTGTTCCAAATAATAACAAAAAACAAATTTAATTTTATAAAACTTGTCAATTTAAAAGGGATATGAATTGATTACGTTTATATCGTATATGTACAACGATTTAGTAATTAATTATAGAGTTAAAGTTTTTTTTTGAAAAAAAATTTTTTTTTAATTATTCTTTTAATTTTTTTTTAACTTTTTGTTTATTTTCAAAATTTTTTTTTTATTTATTTTCTTATATTTTTTTTAATTTTTTTTTGATATCAGTATTATATAATTTTTGAATTTTTTGGCTTTAAAATTATTCTATATAATTTCACCCAACTAAATACTACAGTCAATATTTTAGCTGTATACATTTTTTTTAACTCATCAAAAACTTTCTATTACTAATATATTGTAAATAACATATAGTACGAGTTTTATTAGTTAAAAAAAAAATAAAAACATTTTTACAGCATAAAAAATGTTTTTTTTGAACATTTTTTGTGCAATACACAACAAATTTTAATTTTTTTTTTTTAATTTATAACAACGATTTTAATATAATAATAAGAGATTTTTCTAATAAACAGAAAAGCACAATATGCTATCAATAAATGCCTATAATTCTCAATAAAGTTTTTGAGCACATTTGTTTTTTTTTATAATATTTAAAAATACACATTTTTTCTTTTTGCTCTGTTTTAAACTTTTAATTAATAAAACTTTTTAAAAAATTTTCTTTATCGTAATTACTGCAAATATCGTAAAAAGTAACATAGTTTTCAACTCACCTTTAAAACTATATATCCTTTTAGAAATTTTCGTTAATTTATTTGTAACACTTTTTAAAATTTAATAAAAAATATTATTTTTTTATTATAAATGTTTTTTTTAGATAAAAAAATTATTTTAAATAAAGTATTTTATAACAATTATTTACTTGAAATATTTTTCCAATATTATTTATATTTTTAATATTTATATTGAATCAATATTTGATATAGATTTTTTTATTAAGCTTTCACAAACGACTTCCACTCAGCTTCACTTGTGCAACTCAATTGACTGTGCTTAATTAATTTGAATTCTTTTAATATTGAATTTATATATTCTATATTGTAAGCAATGAAATTGTTAGCTTGAATTTTATGCGAATTAATTCAAATTTTAAAGAGAAATATCGTAAGCGTTCTGTGACTGTGACTGTGACGTAGGCAACCATTCAAGTCAACAGCGGCGAGCTTGAACTACGTACGACGTTGATCAACTCGCGAACTGAAATTTATTTCTTCTTGTATGCTGGCTTTAAATGAAACTTGGTAAGACGATGAAACCTTTTGTTGTTGTTTTTTATTTTTTTATTTATTTTTTTTGTTAAGTAACAATAAACGTTATCAATGCTCTCGTTGTTGTTGTAGTTGTTAGCGATGTTGTTGTTGTTAGTGTTGTTGTTGTAACTAAGTGATTCTTTTTACCATAAATTAATATAGAACTTATTTTAAAGTTGCTTTCAAACTTGTTTGACACAAACTCGTCCTAAGCGCAGCAGCAGACAAAGAAAACAGATTTGATTTATATGAAGCAAATAATTAAATGTGAATTTTTATTTTCGTTCCGCAAGACAAACAAAAAAAAAAGAAGAAAGAAAATAATTAATTTATGCCTTTTTTTTTTAATCACAGATTGTAACCAATGAAAGTATTTGTCACAAGAAATTATTTTTAAAATAATATGAAACGTTCTTAGGAAGATAAGAAGGAAAAAGGATTTAAAAATAATTTTTAATTGCTTTTGTAAATTAAAAAATTGGAAGGGAACAATATTTTCAATTTTTTTAATAGGTATTTTTATTGATAAGACAAGATACACGAAATTATTTTTAAATAAAAAATTACAAAATATAATATAAAAAAAAACATCATTTAATTTAAAAATAACAGATGGAGTAGAACTAAGCTCCGACCATTCCCCTCTCTACATAACCCTCTTCGAATCTGCCTTAATAAATAAAAAATGTCTAAAACTTGAAAATAAATATACAGATTGGAGTTACTTCAGAAGAATCCTTAATGAAAACACCATTGCTTCAAAAGAAATTTGTGAAGAAAATGATCTTGAAAGCGAAATTTTGAACCTTACAAATTTACTACAACATGCGGCTTGGTGCAGCACGCCCACATTAAGGAATGCAACCTATCCTCATAAATACCCAAAAGTCATTGTGGATCTTATGCGGGAAAAAAGAAAGATGCGGAAAAAGTGGCAGCAATCCAGATTTCCAGCAGACAAAGCCATTCTTAACAGACTTGCAAAAGAACTCAGCCTAAAAATCAAGCAATTTAAAAATAATCAATTCAACTACTACCTATCTAACTTAAGTAATGATCGTGCTACCAACTATTCTCTCTGGAAATGCACACGAAACCTTAAGCGACCTTTAGTACACAAAGCTCCAATTAAAAATCACGCTAATCAATGGGCTAAAAGCGATGAGGAAAAAGTGGAGGTCTTTTCCAAACACCTGTCAAAAGTGTTTTCCATAGACGAAAACGTTAACAATGCAGTAATCTGCCCTCCTAGGACAGCACATTCATCATGTATTCCACCAACCACCGAGCTTGAGGTAATGATGATTATTAAAAATGAACTTAAGCTAAAAAAAACCCCAGGTTATGAATTGATAAGTGCTGAAGTTTTAAAAGAAATTCCTCCAAAATGCCTAGTTAAAATTACGAATATATTTAACGCTATAATACAGATGCGAACCCTTCCATCCCTGTGGAAAGTATCTGAAATTATCATGGTACATAAGCCAGGAAAGGATATTAATGACGTAAGTGGTTACAGACCAATAGCACTTCTGCCTGTACTTTCAAAAATATTTGAAAAAGTCTTACTGAAAAGAATCCTTCCTCTGATTGAAAGTCAAAACATAATACCTTTACATCAGTTTGGTTTTAGGTGCAATCACTCCACCATAGATCAAGTCCATAGGATTACCAATGTAGTAGAAAAAGCTCTTGAGGAAAAAAAAATCTGCTCAGCTGTGTTTTTAGATGTGTCGCAGGCTTTCGATAAAGTCTGGCACTCCGGATTGCTTACCAAAGTAAAAAATATTCTCCCAACGGAGTATTATGACATAATCTCCTCTTACTTATCTGATCGTTACTTTCGAGTAAAGCACGGTGATACTTATAGTAAACTGCATAAAATTAACGCTGGAGTTCCGCAAGGTAGTGTCTTGGGTCCTCTCTTATATCTGATTTATACACACGACTTGCCAACGAGTGCAACAACGTTCACAGCAACTTTTGCTGATGATACTGCAGTCCTTGCAGTTGGAGAAAGCGCAGTAATAGCAGCTAATAATTTGCAAAATAGTATGGACAGTATAATTGCTTGGACAAAAAAATGGAAAATTAATCTGAATAAAGAAAAATCAGTGCATGTAAATTTCACAAATCGAAACATCAGTCATATACCTGTCTACATCGATGAAGCACAAATCCCTCACGCGAATACTTCTAAATACTTGGGTATGACTTTGGACGCTAAACTAAGATGGAGCGAGCACATAAAAAAGAAAAGAAGTGAATTAGATCTTAAATTCAAATCGTTGAAATGGTTAATCGGCAAAAAATCAAAACTATCGCTTTTCAATAAACTTGTATTATACAAACAAATGCTCCAGCCAATCTGGACATATGGAATACAGCTATGGGGTTGCGCAAGCAGAACACAAATTTCCATCATCCAAAGATTCCAAAATTTCATGCTACGGAGTCTAACAAACGCGCCATGGTACGTGAGAAATTCTGACTTACATCGTGACCTTGGAGTGACAACAGTACAGGAAGAAATTCATACCAAAGCCAAATCACACCAAGATAGACTTAGTTGTCACATAAATGCTGAGGCGCATTTACTAGCGACAACTGAGCCAATACGCCGTCTAAAGCGCCGAAAGCCGTGCGATCTTTGGGCTTAAATCATTGAAATATAGTACAATTAATTTATTATTGCGTGGAATCGCCTAATCTATTTAAATTTAAATTGCTTGTTAGTTATCTAATAACTAGTTGCTTTATGTCTTGTTTTGTTTTATTTATTGTTCTTTAAAATCATATATAATAATAAAACAATTTATAATAAAAAAAAAAAAAAAATTTAATTCCTTAGAAGTTTAACCTTAAATACTTTAAGAAATACTCAACGTATACAACAAAAAATAATTGTCTTAAATTTTCGATCATTTGTATTGAACCATTTAAATTTATACAATGAACACAGCACCATAATAAGTAAATTACTTTCCATTCAACTGTATGTAATATCAGTATTTTAACATCATTTCGGTTTACCCATAGAATCGTAGCTCTTACATTAATTTATCGCTTATATGTATTGCATAGACTATAAACTAACTACTATCTCAGTTTCCAATTCCGAGGCATTTTTACATTCTTCAACGACAGATGATGTCAGTTTTACCCATAGAACCGTAACTCACATTAATTTATCGCTTTTATGTATTGCATAGACGGTCAGAACTACATACTACCTCGGTTTCCAATTCCGAGGCATTCCTAGATTCTACAATAGCAGATGATTTTAGTTTTACCCATAGAACCGTAACTTACATAACTATACAATACAAAGAAGAAATAAGTCAGAACATAGTCAGAATATATTAAGAACAACCTATTATCTCGACTTCCAATTCTGAGGCATTCTTACATTCTTTAGTGACAGCTGACTTTACGTGACGGGTGCCAAACCCTAAACACAACCCAAACCTAAAGTCCAGAGAACAAAACTCACTGTACGCACTATTAGCTCTTTACTAATCCAGTGTCAGGTAACTATACATGAAAAATGAAAGACGACAAGGATTGCTCTGACATTTTCCAAATTAAGTACAATCAAATATAGACTCATGTGTGCTAATTCCCTCACAAACCTAGTGGTATCCATTTAGCGATCTCTCAATATTTGAAACCTAATAATCTTGTATGTATCCTTTAGTGTTCCTAAGTTTTTGTCTTTGTGCCGTATTGCTTGATTATTTTAAGAAATTTATTGATGTAATTCCTTTATTCTTCGAATGTCACTGTTTTTAAAATTTACTTTTATTTCTGCTGCATCTCTAGCTAAAAGATTGCCAGGTGGCAATAATAATAATAATATTGATACTAATTTCTATAGATATATATTCCAGGAAGATAGGTTGGTCTTCAAAATATATTTCTATAAAATTAACTGAGTAATTTATTGTCAGAAGAGTTCTTATTACAATGGATCATGTAAATTATCACAGACTCTATTGAGTAAAAGTGTTTTAGATTTTTCGTATTTGGTTAAGCAACAAAGAAGAAGATATAAATTCAATTTGAATAAAACTTTTCTTGAGTCAAAATATTGGAATAATAATTTTAATTTTTCGCTTTTTATGACGAAAAGAAACTATTTAAAACTTAGAAGGAGTCGAATAGCAAAGAAAAAACAAGAACAAAAATTTTATTTTTTTGAATATCTTTATTTTCAGTAATTAATATACACATAATTCTAAATATATATTTCATACTTCTTTTGGTCATATATTTGTCATTTATAGTTCTAAGTTTGTAAATTTTATATAAATTTATATATCAATGTAGTATAACAATTATTCTGAAATTATAAAAACTTTTGCGATTATATTAGAGAAATATATGTGTAATGTACCATATATGCTATTAAAATAAGTTTATACATTAATCTTTAACTGTTTTTGATACAATATAGGTATACTTTAATTGTCGGAAATCCCATTTTTTAATTTTTTCACTTCT